CGGGTAGTTGTTCAAGCCTTCAATGCCAGATAGGCTGCCGCCTGTGATGGAGCCAGACTCAGCGTACTGCGAGCTCTGTCGGAAAGTGCTTCCGCCATCGTCATGCCGGTGGTGGTGATGAAGACGATCCTGGATCTCCACGCCCTCAATGCTGCCGCTGGCGATGGACTCGGTCACTGCACGTGAGGCCGCCTTTGCCGCGGCCATGTACACCTCGGAGATGAGACGCTGCGTCAGGGTAGACATCTGGCTGCCCACACTGGAACTGCTGTGTAACTGGAAGTGGGTATTGTCCAGCATAGTTGGCGAAGTGGTGAGGGAGAGATTTTGTGCCGCGAAAAGACCCTTTCCCGAAGTGCAGGAACTGCCTGAAAATGTGAAAATGCAAAGAAATTCACCATTTTACATCTCATTATTGTGGAGGAAATCCTAGTGTAGGTCGCACAAATTTTTTAAACAGTCTAATGTTTACGCAACACAATAGCGCGCTATAAATAAAAACAGAAATTAACTTATATTTCTTATTTCAGTTAGTCATTTTTCACTTACGTATCTCCCAATAGTTGCATATTTGCACATTTTAATTATTTATTTACTTTATTTATTTTATTTACATTTCCTGTTTACAGCCAAAAACTGACGTATTCGGAGGGGATTTCTCCGAAGTATTCGGAGAAGCACACGCAGAACCCGACCTCTCAAAATTGAACCTCAACCTTTATCAGGTTTTAAATCCCTAATGGTTTCGAGTCACCTGGTATTACTAAGTTTAACTGCAAAACTGCTCCTCCTCCCCATCCGGTAAACCTGTTTAACCACGAAGAGAGACTGTAATTCAATTCATAAGAATGAGGGCAAGGGTACTTGAAAGTGCTGCCTAATTCACCATAATCAATAGGCTATGCAGGAAGAGATGCGGAGGTACAAGTAAAAGACAACCCGCATCCCACTGTTTTTTTGGGTTCATTATGTATATATCTCGTGACTTTTCTGCAAAAAAATTGACCTTCAGAACAAACTTCTGCGTCAAATTTGATTAACGCAGGGTAATATCTTGCCAAAACGAATTTGACCTCATCTGCTCTGTTACAAGATCGGCTAAATAGGTTGATTAAGTATGATAGTTTGGGCCTTCAATAATTAAGCATACATAGCGAAACGGATTGGTTGACTGATAGCATCGAAGATGAGCTTAAGATTGCTGAAGGCGTGTTTCGACAAAATGGATATCCCAGTCGACCTATCCTTAAGAACATGGCTAAAGGGTTGCCGAAGCCCTCAGTGTTAATAAAAGGGCAGAAACGAATATTCATCAGGGTCCCATTTCAAGAGGACGGACCAGCGAACTTCTAAGGAGGCGCCTGCGTCAAGTCGTAGTAACCGCTTTTCCAGCAGCCAACGTCCATGTAATATCCTCGATTACTCCCATCCTATACGGAGAGATCAAGGACAAACTGCCATCCTAGACCACCTCTATGTGCATATGCTCATTTACCTGCTCCTGTGGGGCAGGATATATTGGTCGCACGAGCCCGCGTTTGTCCAAAAGAGTACGAGAACACATTCCAGCATGGTAAGGGAAGGGCCAAATAAAGGGTTTAGACAGTTCTATTCTGGCGCACCTGGTAGACTCAGATCATTGCGTGGATCTCAAAGAGACCTTCTGAGTGATCTTCATGGTGCCCTCGAGCTATTCAAAATTCCATGGACAGCGTGTTTGACTACGACAAAAGCGGTCACCATCAGGCTACGCCGACCGGTTCTGTGCGCCCAAAAGAACTTCGTCGCGGCGCCGCAGTTATCATGATTGAAAGTCGCTAATCCAACAGCCAGCAGCTTATCACCTCGATCGACTAACAGTCGCCCCTAACGCTGATCAGATTTTTGATCCTGATTCCTCCTCCTCTCACCACCTATCTTGACAACCGAATCATTTTTTTATACTAACCCGCGTAGTTTATTGTCTAATAGTCATATAAATATAAAGGCCTGACGAGAATTTATCGAAAAAATTTTATGTTCGCCAATTTATTTTCTGAAATTTTCAATGAGAATTTTTGGAAATGTAAATGATATTAGTAAATAGATCCTCAGAAACTACACAGGGTTTAATGGGGGCCAGAATATATACTGTTCTAGCTACCAGCAGTCGAAATCTATTGATTAGTTACCCCTGTCGTCTATTTTAATCTAAAATTTAAATGGCACTGATATCGCCGAGGCTTGGTGGCGGAACGTTTCCAAATGCAATGGCTAAGTGCACGGATGTGGAAAGAAGTCCCCCCAAGAGTCCGACTACTGCAGAGTGACTTACCAATAGACTGTCGGGGGTAGAGAGGCTGTAGAGAGCCAGATCCCGCGCCGATTGAGCCTTGACCGGCTCCCAAGGTGGCCATCTGCTTGCCAGGTTCCAGAATTTGGTAGGGTCTCAAACTCGGGTGAACTCTGCATTATCCAGGCAGAAAAAGCAACATGAGAATTTGTACATCAGGTTGTGCAACAAAAGGTCGACGTCTTCTATGCGATTTATCGACTTAAATTGTCGAAGAAAATTATAGGACCTGTTTTCTCTAATCATATTAGTGAGCTAAACGTGAATGAAAAGTAATTTCTGAAGTCCTCGGCAATTCACCATTATGCAAGATTGTGCTCCTATAAATTCAAATATATTTTACCGAATATATGCATAAAACGTTATTTCTCTTGAACATAATTTAAAGCGTCTTATGTGTTTCTCTTGTTTTTTTTTTAATGAAACATATTGTGGAATTTTGAACTTCACAAGAAGTTTCAACAACACCTGCTGTTCAATTTGCATTCAGAGTTCCCAAACTATAAGTAGTATATATTTCTTAAAAGAAAAATCCGCAATTACTATACGCTAAAAGCTTTAAATAGGGCCCAGAAAACTTTGCTGGGGATGTAAACTAAGCCACGTTAATTAACAACTAGATAGGTTGCTTTATGCAGTGTACATTTTACAGTCTTTAAAAGGATATAAATAAGAACCTGCTCAAAAACGGAATACTACCCTTCTCTAAGTATTTACTTTGAAGAAGACAAAATCTTACAGCGAATGAATAAAGACAGGTTTCCGCATGTTTTCTTTACAATAATTTTGAATTTATGACTGAACGAAAACTTTCGCATTCTAGGCATATTCATGGATAAGGAAGAAGGATTGTCAAGCACCGAAGAAACTTTTGTATTGTCCTGAAGTTTCAAACTCTTACAGGAGTCCATCTAAAGGCGTAAGAAACAACAAAAAGAGAGGGGCATACGCCAATCAACTGTCAGAGGTCGTCAGGGGTAAGAAACGGCAAACAAAGAGGGAGAGTAGGAAGCAATTATAGGGGTATACGTTAATTAACTCTTAGTGATTCCAAGGGTCGGAAGGGCGTCAACAACGAAAATGGGGGTAATTTATAGAGGATTTGCGCTAGTTAACTGCCAGGGGATGGAAGTCTGAACGAGATTGCTCGTGACCGCGCAGGACTCTGTACGCCAACGCCAATTTGGTACATCGGTTGGTTGAATTCCAGTCCGTAGACCAGGCTTCAATCAATTCTCGGTTCGTCTTGTTTCCGGAGTGGGCGAGTACCTTGACGGCCGCGAAATTGAGCTTATGGCCTGTTTCATAGGTGTGAGCTGCAACACCCCATCGCCTCGCCGTATAACAAGCTTATGTTCATGTATACACGATCACAGCATGCGTTTAGTTTGGTCTGTGTAGTTAAAGGGACAGCTTAGGCAAGAGATGCTATACACTATCTCAGATTGCTAATCGAATTTAAGTTGGTCTATTGTGCTATTTGAACACCACCAGCGATGCGCTCACTCGCTTATGAGACGCCCTTGATGTATGGCAGAGCGTGCCATATCCTCAGTGTTTCTTCTGTTTGGGGCCTCCGGGGCCGAACGCGTAGTCATCAGTTTACAAAGGCTTTCGAATATCCATTCTGCATAAATTTGTTGCAGAGATATCGAGCCTAGCTTTCTCATTCCCACCCA